GAGAGAGAGAGAGAGAGAGAGAGAGAGAGAGAGAGAGAGAGAAGAAGAAGAAGAAGAAGAAGAAGAAGAAGAAGAAGAAGCCAAACAGGCGGAAGGTAAAGCAGACAACACGAGGTGATGGACAAACCCTGAACGCTGCATGTGTGTGGGTCTTACAAAAAAATGTAATGACCCGCCAAAAACACAGACTGAGAACACTGCTGATTTCTGGGATTTGCCGCTGGAATGAATGCCTTGTTGAAATTCCCGCATTCGGCTGTGATTTCCATGTCTGTGTGTGTGTGCGTGCCTGCTGGTTTGCATGCCTGACCGAGTGCTTGTCGGTCGAGTGTGTGTGTGACCCGCAAGGGTACTTGTTGGTTGCAAGGCCCCGCAGGGCCGGTACTTACCTGTGGCCGTGACAGTGAAGGGTTGCAGGGGGAAAACACTCGAGTAGCGGGGGTAGGCCCGCGGCACTTAGAGCAGAGGGGAAAAACACTCAAGTAGCAGGTAGGCCGGTACCACTGAAGTAGTGGTAGAAGTGTCGGGTACTGGAGGCCGAGCAGAAGAAGACAAAGTTGGCATTTTTAGAGGCCCAGTAGCGGTAGCTTAGAGGTAGGCCGGTACCAGTCCAAGTAGCCCGGGTCTAGGGCCTGTAGGGAGGATAGCAGAGCCTGCAATGATGTTTCCCTCCGAAAGGGAGGAGGTACCGGTTGCTGGGAGGCCGCTCGGCCTGGGAAGTCACCACCCAGGAGGCCGGTAGGCCGCTATATCTCCAGGAAGAGCAAAGAGCTCTTCCTCACTTGCGGTATGCAAGGATTGGCGACATGCTGCTGGAGCGCAGAGCTGGACCAGTGCAGCGCTGCTTGGAGGTGAAGGGCCGCTGGAGCTCAGCCTGGCTATGGCGAGCAGTCCAGCTTGAGGAGGAGGGAGAAGGGGACATGGTAGGAGAGTGGCGGGGCACTTACCCGGCTATGGTAGACACCATCTTCATCACCTTGTTGGGCGCTGCATCTGGAAGGCCCCAGTTGGGGTAGTGCTGCACCAAGGAAGCTCGAGGCAGAGTCAGGCATGGCGGACCGGTCAGCAGTGGCATAGCTGCTTTGGGTTGTCCTTTGGACATCAGCGCAGCACCATAGCTGCTTTGTGTTGTCCTTTGGACAGGAGGGCAGGGCCCTCATTAGTCTGCCATAGCCTATGCATGAGAGAGGAGGTGGAAGGAGGGAAGCCATAGCTATGGTGGACTGGTTGTTGTTGTTGTTGTTGTGAGTTGAGTCAGCAGTAAGAGGGAACTTCGGATATTGATTCTGGTTCATCCATTCATTGTTATTATTATTATTGAGAGAAGAATAAGATTGGCGAAGTGAAGGAGGAGGAGGAAGGAACAGAGAGAAGGGGGGGGAATTGTCATTGGTCTTGCTGGTGTACTTCTTCTTCTTCTTCTTCTTCTTCTTCTTCTTCTTCTTCTTCTTCTTCTTCTTCTTCTCTCCTCTGGTCTTTATCTCTTGCAAGTGCTTTCATTTCTTTCGCAATTGGGTGGCATTGTCTTTCATTGTGAATTTGCACTTGGGAAATGACCAGGATCGAAACAATAAAAAGAAAAAAAATCCTGAATGCAACTTTTTTGCTGACAAAATAAGCATCGTAAAAGTCTCTCTTAGCAAAACAGACGTGAAGCATCCGTCCGGCGTACGACCCTCTACCAGTTTCGGCTGGTCGCCGTGCCAGCCCTCGTCAGGGGTCTGCTGTTCCAGGATGATGCGTGCTACGTAATCTCGCGTGTACTCAGGAAATTACCAAGACACTCCTAGAAGTTTCAAGAACAACAGAACCTACCGCCAAAACTGGTCCAAGTTCATCAGCAAGAGACTCAAGTAACTGCCACCGCAGTTTCAACCACAGGTATCGTCTGTACGGTCTGCACATATCAACGTAATAGCCTATGTTGAGACAAGCAGGAAAGTAACGGTCATTTCGGGTCTAGAAATCTATGATAGCCTTTATACTATATGAAACATTGCCGGTTTATCGTCGACGAAACCCTACGTCCACAGCTCGAACGGACAGATTGTTATCACAATAATGTTTGAACTTTGAACTCAAAGAAGAAATTCCCGCCATTGTGCATCAAACCATACAGCAAGTCTACGGTTTGAGACCTGATGGCGTCAAAGCAGACAGAAGAACCCAGTCCTAAGTTGGACCCATGAGCCACAGGACATTATGAACATAGTCACTATGCGGACCGGGTTCATGCGAACAGACCTCACTGGGACTGCAGATGACCAAAGAACATTACCGATGGGTTAGGGTAGCTATATCTTCTGGGGCAAGAGATCTGACTTGACCTGGCAGTCTGCCTGGACCTGCTTATCTTGTTGGGATCTGGACTGCCAAATCTTGTTC